TGCTGGTCACACTGGTGACACCATGGATGCCATTCACACTGTGGATGCTGGTCACACTGGTGACACCATGGATGCTGTTCGCAGGGTGGATGCCATTCACACTGGAGATGCTGTTCATACTGGGGATGCTGGTCACACTGGAGACACCATGTAGGCTGATTACACTGGAGATGCTGGTCACACTGGAGATACTGTTCACACTGGTGATGATCACACTGGTGATATCAGTGACACTTAGGGCTTGATTTAGAATTTTTTTATAGTTTAGTCATAGAACTCCAAGTTGTTCAGAAAAGCATATTTTTCTATTACCTTGTGAAATGTTGATTATTTTACTGGGCCATCTGGCCATCTTTGGGGCTGTATTCAACACCAACTCACTTGACAGAAGAAAGAGTGGCATTGATTTAAACTGGTACCCCAGGGACAATAGAGTCTCCAGCTGCTAGGAGGATCCTGGTTGTCTGTGGAGTTTCAGGTTTCTAATGCCCTCAGATGGTGGATTTGTTTGCTTACTCTATGGCTCTCGGACTTATGGACTCCTTAGCTCTTTGCTCTCTTCTAATCAATGATTGCAATAAAGCACTTAATTGAGTCTGGACAATAACACTCTATTTTCAACCTGGTCATTAGTAAACTCACAGAAAGAGAGCAAATAGGGTTAAAAAGTGAACAGGTAAGCCAAATTAATTTTTCCTAATAATCTCTGAAATGCACATAAAGTACATACTTCACAATTTAAGATTCATATATAAATTTTTTTCTAAATGAACACTTAGCCTCATCTCCCCCAGCAAACAAGTTCTTTGGAGACAGGTACATATGTGTTAGAGCTTTCATCCTTCCAAAATGATTGCATGCTAAATAATTATTTACTGGTTAATCACAAATCTGGTATGTCCTTTTATTTCATCCAAACACTCTGCTTTGCCTCTCTAATAATGTCCTAGATAATCAATGGATTACCATCAATAATGGGCATTGAAATTAAGGGATAAAGACTCTTACCCTGGAAGTGTGGTTTCAGGTGATTTGCATGTTAGACCACACCACTGTCAGAATGAGAGATGGGTCACAGGAGCCCGATGGAACAATACAAATGTTTAAGCTAAAAATGACCTTACACATTAAGGAAGGCTCCATGAGGGTGTGAATAAAAAACCTCCACAAACTTAAGACTGATTGTTCTGTAACTGATAACAAGCAGCTTTCTTGCTTAAACCTCTTCAATCAATCAAGCACAATGCAGTTTTGGAATATACACCTGTAAACCAATTATTCTGTGTCAGCCCTCACTTCTGAGTCAGCCAGTTAGGGTCAGACTCGCCCCAGTAAACACACCTCTGAACACTGATCACCCAAAGAAAACCTCGTTCCAGCAGAAAACCCCATTCCAACAGAAAACCCCATTCCAGCAGAAAACCCCATTCCAACAGAAAACCCCATTCCAACAGAAAACCCCATTCCA